CAGAAAGGCAGGCATAGGTTGAGCAATACATAATACCTTATAATTATGATAAGATTCGAACATTTGATCATGACAGTAGGGTTCTAGTGGGACGTTTTATCCACTTGGATCTTGTTTTAGGTTGGATAGGGAATTGAAAATTACTACATATAGATTCTCTTGGATTTCGAGGTCTTTTCAAATCTATAACATACTCCATCCATCCCTAAATAACTAAACATCTCGTTTCTCAAAAAAGTATTTTTATTTAAAATTTGACTAGGCATATATAAAATAATATTAGTATTTGAATTTTTCAAATAAGTTTATTATGAAAAAAATATATTCCACGATCAATCTGGTGATACTTATCACATATCATAAATATTAGTGCATTCCGTATATATTTGGTCAAACTTCAAAAGAATTTGGCTAAAGTATTTGAGAATGATATGTTATATTATTTTGGGATGGTGAGAGCATCGGATTAGATAGGAATTTTTTTAATAAACATACATTCTCCGATAATTTAATGTCAATTTTGGCGAGAAAACATGTATATAAGACGTCGTGCGTTGTTCAGTGGTACAATACATGCTTTGTACTCTGCAGCACTTGGTCCGAAGTTTTTTCGAGGCCATGGTCAAGAACTAATATGGAGGCCCATAGTCTACTTTCAAAAAAATATATTTATATAGATTTTTATAGATATATATAGTCTCACAAATACACATCAATTTAGATAATATTCAAAGCACCAAAAAAGCTTATATATAATCTCTCAAAGTTAATAAAATGGACATATGTAATAATATATTACTTACTTGGCACTTGACACTATCTAAAGCAATTTCTTCTTACATTTCGAGATGCAAAATCATTGATTATACTATTGATATCGATCTCATCCAACAACTTCTTCTCGATGCATAAAGTCGCCAAGCCATTTAGCCTTTCTTGAGACATTGTTGACCTCAAATAGTTCTTCAATAATTTTAACTTTAAAAAGCTTCTTTCAAATTGATGCGGCACCGTCACAGAACGGTAAATAAGATCCGATAAGCAATGGAAATATTTGGATAACAATCCAACTCTCTCGACATGCTTGAAAATCTCCATAGCGACAATGTACCTTCTTCAGCAATGTGAATTTCAAAATCTTCAATTCGAGAAATAAGATCATGTACCTCAACATCGGATGATCCATCAACCGAATTTTTTAGCAAATTTAGTGCAACACTCTTCAAGTTCAGATATCATCTAATGACTTTAAGGCGCTTGAGCTCATTAAGAAACCAAATATATCTTTAAACTCCATGAGTTTATCAAATCTATGATTTAAAGAAGATCTTGCCATATCAACCACAACATTAAAATATTCGATTTCAAAAGCCTTCTCAGCGTCTAGAATTTCTTCTTGGCAACCACTTTCGTCAAATTGTTTCTTCCTCGTACCACAACGTTTTACTGGAAATGATGCCTTTACACCCATGTCGATGCAATGCCTTTGGCGATAATCGACTAGAAGAAAACCCTTCATTTCTGTATGTCTCAAAGTATTGCTTCATACCTTGTATTTGCTACAATGTAGAGTCAATGCACATGTCTGGCGACTGCAACTTCTTGCTCACTTTATTCACGGTAAATAAAATATCATTCCAGATAACCATACCAAGTATAAACTCAAAATTTCCAATGGCCTCAAATAAAGTTTTTGCATTACTTTTATCTTTAGCATCGGTCTCGGGATCATGACGTAACTTTCGATAAAGTCGCTCTTATCTCAAAGAGCTTGATATCTTATTGCTGAAACACTTTTGATTCGACTCTCCCAAATGATAGTATGGACAATGATTTCACAGTTAAACTGGGAACATGTTTCAACAAAAGCATTCCACCTTTTGTAGAACTAGCAAAAAGCACATATATCGCGTTGAACAATACCAAAAATGACTCGACTTTACCACATGTTTTTTGTTGCCATGTAAGATTGAGACTATGACAAGCACATGGCATATACAATGCTCTTGGATTGATATCGCTTAACCTTTTCTCAGTACTCCTTGGTGTTTTTCTTTCATGTTTGAACCATTGTCATAGCCTTGACCTCTTATATCATCAATATTAAGTCCGAAGGAGTTAATAGCATCAACCATTACATTAAAAAGCCCCAAACCAGATGTATCATCCACCTTCAAGAACCCCAAAAAATATTCCTCAACTTTTATTTGGGCATCAGACAAATTAACACATCGAACTAACAAAGTCATTTGTTCTTGATGACTCACATCAGGGGTGCAATCAAGAATAATGGAAAAATACTTGGCCTCTTTAACAACCTTTATGATAGAGCTTGTGATATCAACAGCCAAGAGAGAAATCAACTCATTCTGAATTTTATGACTAAGATAATGATAATGAATTTCTTTGTTCGAATAAATGCAGAGGTGATCTTGCATTACAAAATCAAATTACGCTATCATCTCGGCTGAGCTAAGAAATTGCCATTACTTGGATTGTAAAGTTGCTCATTGCTTCCTCTAAAAGCCAAGCTGCGTTTGCCAAGAAATTTCACAATTGCAACTATCCTTATTAAAACTTGCCTCAAACGTTCTTTCTCCTTTGTGATTTGTTGCTGCAATTCTTTGTCAATTGTTTCCTTTTTCCGCAGTCTAGCTCTCATTTCATTCCAACTGTTCATATTCCTAATATGCTCAGGACTATTTTCATGCTCTCTAAGCTTCTGACTAATGTGCCTCCAATTACTATAGCCATCATTTGCTAAGCCACTCGTACTGCTAGACTTGAAGATCTTACAACAGAAACAAAATGCTTTGTCAACATTCTTTGAATAAACTGACCATTTTCTATCATGTAACTCTCTCTGTAGTTAGTTTTCTAAAATAATGGCCACATGAAAAATGTCTTGACTCAAAGATCATGAGGGAATTCAATGTTCTCTTCTCTTATAGGCCCTTCTCAACTAATATGTCTCGTACCTTATTATCAAGTTTATCCCAATTGCTTGGATCATATATATCTTCGAAGTGTAAACCGGCTCGCTCATCAATACTAGTAGATTGTTCTTGCGCACCCGATGCAGGAACAGTGTTCTCAGGGTCACTTACATTGTTATCACCGACGCCGATGTCAACATTTTCTTCATCATTCTCATTAGTTGCTACATCCACAGCAACTATCGCCAACTCATCAGGATTCGTCAAGCAGCCGTAGTTTAGTCTTGAAAAAATTATCAAAAGATCCTCTCGGTGATTCTCGCTCAATGCTGCAAAGATTTCTTTTCCGCTTCCTTTTGGAAGCACCCGATTCAAACTTTCTCGATGACATTATATCCAAATCCTAAAATTAAATAAACGATAGACAATTATAAGGGTATGTAGGCTACAATAAATAAATTAATCATCAATATGTTATTTGTCAAACCGAAGCGGTGCTTACCTATGGATGTGATCCTCTCATCTCCGTGCGGTGGTTTGATACTTTGATCCGATTAATCCGTGATGATTGATGAACCTGAAGCGGCCGCAAATGGATCAGGGATCACGGATGAGGATGATGGGAATTGGGATCAAAATTGAACGAGCAACATCTGCATCTGCTCGATCACGCATGAGGACGATTACCTCCGGCAGCCGCACGATCAGGTCGTTCGTGAGGTGAATGGAAACTGAAGCGTCGAAGGGCCTCTTCCTTGACTTTTGCTTGCTTCTATATTTAGCCAACAGCCCAATAGGCAACACGCAGCAATCAAAAGCCCATGTATATATGTATTATAGACAAAATCGTATATATATATACACTAGTACCTACTATATGGGGAGAGGCCCACCAAAATTAGAGGCCAGGGTCGGCCGCACACCCTGCCCACCCCAGGGCCGGCCCTAGTCCTGCTTCGACCGTTCGATGTGTGATACGGAGTAGGGCACACTCATACAGGTACACAAGGCAAGTGTCCGTATAGTGTGCATGTACACTGGTGTGCACGCTATAAAGAAAATCCCTCACTTTCGTCAACGTTTTAGATGCAGTGAATATTATTAGGAGAATTTTAGAAGAGTACTAGAACCAAAGATTAAATCCCAGCACGCATTTATGAGTTGCCTGTCACTTCACCCATCGCTTGCGGATAAACCCTGGCGATGATGGTGTCATGTCAACATTTACCTGCCGTTAACTCTGACGTCTCTTGGTCTTCCCTCCTCGCTGAACGCCGTCAGGCGTCATCCCGTCAGTCACCCAGGGCCCACCGAGGGCGCAGACAAAAAAAACTTTTCCCAAAAAATACTACAGTATCAATCACATCGAATCTTGCGATACATGTATGGAGCATTAAATGAAGACGAAAAAAATTAATTGCATAATTTAGTTAGAAATTGTGAGACGAACATTTTAAACCTAATTAGTCCATAATTGAATACTTATTACTTAATAAAAATGAAAATGCTCCGGTAGCCCAGATTCCAAAATTCACTTAACTAAGCACGGGCTACGCCGCCCAAGCCATAAGGCTGCTTGCAGCTTGGCAACAGAAAAACAATCCGAAAAAAAAGGAGAGGCAAAAGCGAAAACCCCTCCCCCCTCCTCCTTCGCCCGCAAGAACTCGAGCGGCAGTGTGGCCACGGCAGCCGGGTTGACCCGCCCGCGAGCTTATAAGCCGTTTCTCCGGGAACGTCGTCTTGTCGCGCAAGTCGCTCGAGTTTTCCCGCGCCGGCCGCCTCTGCCTGCTTGCTCGGTCTCAGATTCCCGCGCGCGAAAGAGAGGACCGGACGGCCGGCGGAGTACGCTTCTTTCTTTCTTTCTTTCTTTCATTCCCTGTCCTTGTCTCTCGTGCTCTCCGTCCGTTCCGGCAAAAGCGGCGCGCGAAGATAGTCTGGGAATCGCTGTTCGTTTCTTGATTCCGGCGGCGGCGGAGGCAGTGCGTGTGAGGGAGGCGCCGCGCGCAGCCTCGGATTCGGACAGAGCGTCCGTCGCCCGACCCCCACGGCGGCGGCGGCCGACCGATGGAGTCGGTGAAGGGGTGGGTGGCGGCCAACTACGCGGAGGCCATGGCGTCGATACAGCACTCGCTGCGCGTCGCCTACGTGGTCTTCTCCTTCTGCGCCGCCTTCTTCCTCGGCGGCATCAAAGGCACGCCCGTTCTTGTAATCAATCGCGTCTTGCCATCTTCGGATTTTGGAGCCTTGCTTTGCTTGGGGGTTCTGCGCCCACGTGTTCTTACTTCTCTCAAATGGATGTGCAGCGATGGTGGTCGGACCCGTTGCCGCCGCGCTGATGATAGTGGGCAACGTCGGCGTCATACTCGTGCTCTTCCCGGCGCACGTTTGGTGGACAATCTACTCGCTCGTCAAGTAAGCCGCCCAGCAACTAGTCCTTGTGTTCTTGCTTTTATTATCTACTCCATTCCATTCCAGCAAAATCCGTTGTTTTTTTCCGTTCGATACTTCTTGTGAATAATGAATTTGATCTTCTTGCACCTTTATTTCTTTCCAAAATTCCTTCTGTCGCCAATTGCACCTTCTCGAGATCAATAGATGGTCATACATACTGTTTGACTGATCGTTGCTGCTCTGCAATCTGCATTCGCAATCCAGGACTGACCGTGTCAACGCGGGCCTGAAATTAGCCGTGCTCTTGGCGCTGCCCGTGCTGTTCGGCCTCTGGCTGGGGCTCGGCATCTTCGGCAGCGCGCTGGTGGCTCTCGGGTACGGCTTCTTCACGCCGTGGATCTCCACCTTCGAGGCGTTCCGGCAGGAAAGCGAGGCCAAGAAGTTCGTGCACGGCATTGTGGTAAGACAGATCAGAGCATCTCCTGCACGACGCAGGTCAAAAGATTCAGGTCCCCGCAGCTGTTAACCATGCCTCCCAACAACACTGTCTGAGATGGTTCTGGTTTGAGCAGGACGGGACGTGGGGCACGATCAAGGGCAGCTGCACGGTGGTTAGGGACTTCGCCGACATATGCTTCCACTCCTACCCGGTCTACCTCAAGGAGCTGCGCGAGAGCTGCCAGAATCGTGAGCCCCATTCGATAAGGTATCTGTCCTCCCACTAACTACCATTCGTTTGGTTGTTTTAGGATTAGCTCTGTGCTGTGTAATCCTTGTGACAAGGATGGGATTGTCATGACAAGGACGTGATTAGCCTTTTGCCATAAAATACCCTGCTCTGGCAGTGTGTCATGTGTCGTGTTAGTGTTACTTAAGTATATTCTCTACAAATTCTATCATTGTGAAATTTTTTTTTTGGCATGATCTCACACTGCAGTTGCTTGAAATTGGAATTTAACATTGTAATTGTTAGATTACCAAAATAAAATAAAATGTACTGCTGGTTGTGGATGCTATTTTTTTCAAAAGGATGGCAAGAGATCACTGTGAATTATATTAGAGTCTTATAGTATAACAATCTTCTTAATGTTGTTCTTGTAGGTTGCTTGATGTGCCGTCATGTATAGTTGTTGCTCTCCTGGGGCTAGTCGTCGACATACCGCTTTACACAGTGATTGCGCTGATCAAGAGCCCCTATATGCTCTTCAAAGGCTGGCAGAGGCTGCTGCATGACCTTATAAGCCGAGAAGGCCCGTTCCTTGAAACAGTTTGCGTGCCAATCGCTGGCCTGGCTATCCTTTTCTGGCCACTGGTGGTGGTTGGGAGCGTTTTGTTGGCTATCGTCTCAAGCATTTTCGTGGGGCTCTACGGAGCAGTCATTGTTTTCCAGGTTGCTAGATTATTAACAATTTGCTAAACTCACAATGTTTGTGTGAATGATTTTATGATGCAAGTACTTACAATTTTTGTACCTTACTGTCGCAGGAGAAGTCCTTCCAAAGGGGAGTTTCATATGTTGTGGCCATGGTTGCGGAGTTTGATGAGTACACCAATGACTGGCTTTACCTCCGCGAAGGAACAGTTCTCCCAAAGTACTGTATTTCCCCTTGATTGTTCCAATCTGACAATCCTGATGTCCTTTATCATGTGCTGCTTCCTCGCTGTGCAATTGTTTAACCTTTTGTTATTTGGAAAAAAAAAACAGGCCGTCATATAGAAAGAGAAAATCATCCAACTCCACAGAATTCTCAGTCAGAACAAATGCCTCTGTCAAAGGAACTGGTCCCAGTGAAGCACCGGCAATGTTGGTTCCGAATTTGGCTCCTGCAAGATCAGTAAGAGAGGCTATACAGGAAGTCAAAATGGTCCAGGTATGTTCCTTTCATGTCATTCCATTTCCCAGCTTGTCTACAGTCTGCATGAAAATTTTTCAGACACATCCTTGTTTCGCACTTTCACCTTAGAAAAAATTGTAATACTCACTGCAAACTTGGAAAAAACGCATGTTCCATGTCCTCCTGTGTAACTATCCGGTAGTTGTATTTCAGTCATTTTATGACTAGTGAGTTAACATATTCAGTAGTCCTCCATCGTATTTTGAAGAGGGAAATGCTCCAACCCTTTCAATGTTTCCCCTGTCTTCAGAGTAAAGACAGTGCTGACAGATTTCAAAGGGCACATTCCTTATTTCCTTCTGCAGTACTTTATGTGTGTTAACGACACAAAATAAAGACACACCCTTTTTTCTAGCTGTGTCCATGCTATCTTCTGTATGCAAGAAAGTTATTTTCATGAATGGAACTATAATGCTCCAAGTAGGGGATAGCAAGACAAATTTGCGTTGCTGTTGTCACGCTTTCTTCAGTAGGTGAGCCAGTTCTAGTTCAGGAAATGGGATAAATGATATGGGCATGCAAAGAGTAGGTACAGGTAGACAGTTTAATTGTTGCATTGAAGGTACCATAGAGTATAGATTAGGCGAGCTAGTTCTAAGTGAAGCAATATCATGATTCACCAATGAAAGGAACCTCACAAGAGATGCAACTGCTGTGCATTTTATATGCGTGTTTGCTTTATACTGTAGCTAACTGTAAAGAACTGTAACAAGCACTTTGGGTTACTCTACATAAAGATAGATAATCACACAGTCAATCTACAATTCCACGTCGTGCTTCGCCTGGAATTTCATCGAGTTAAAAGACGCCTGAAGTCCTAATTTGGTTCCTTGCTTTGCAGATATGGGAAAACCTGATGAAGTCATGCGAACAGAGGGGCAGGGACCTTCTGAACCTGAATGTCATAACAACCGCCGGCCTGACCGAGTGGTTAAGGGCAAAGGAGAGCGGCCACGAGACCATAAGTCTGGGCCTGCCTTCGTACAACCTGCTGTGCACCGTGCTGCAATCGATCAAGGCCGGCTCCGGTGGGCTGGTGCTGGGCAACTTCGAGGTCAACCAGCACAACAGGCCCCAGGACCGGCTGCTGGACTGGATCTTCCACCCCGTGCTGGTCCTTAAAGAGCAGATACAGGCGCTGAAGATGACCGAGGAGGAAGTGAGGTTCCTGGAGAAGCTGACCGTTTTCGTTGGCAACGCCGCGAGCGCTGGTGGGTGGGATAATGGCGCCGAGATGCCCCAGGATCCTGTGAGGTTGGCACAGATTCAGGCCATCAGTAGAAGGTATGCATGCTGCATCTTCTGAATGACGACAATGGTTTCTGCTCATTTCAGTAGAACTGTTCACATCCACTTCTTCATGACACTGTGTGCCTGAAGTTTGTGCCATTTCTCCATGTTCTAAGGCCCTGTTTGGTTGGCCTTTTGGCTTTGGCTTTTGGCCCCAAAAGCCAAAAGCCCAACCAAAGGGGCTGCTTTTGGAGGGTGCTTTTTCAGAAGCAGCTGCTTTTCCATAGTTCATTTTTGAAAGCTGGGTTGACCCTGCTTTTGGCTTTTGGCTTTCTGTTTTTCGAAATTGGTGGAATAAAAAGCTCTTCCATAGTTGTTTCAAGAGAGATAAAGATAAAAGGTATATTTTATACTTGTTTAACTAAACAGCTTTCAGCTTTTCTACAGCTCACAGCCCACAGCAGCTTTTCCACAGCTCACAGCCCACAGCAGCTTTTTCCCACAGCCACAGCTCAACCAAACAGGACCTAAATGCTGCCGGTTTCTTTTGCAGGCTGGTTGGAATTGTGAGGAGCCTGTCGAAGTTCCCGACGTACAGGAGGAGATACAGGCACGTCGTGAAGCTGCTCATCGCCTACTCCATCGAGAGGGAAAGCTCGTCGGCTTCAGGGCACTCGGCTTCTTACTTCGAGATAACACAGCTGGACGTGTAATTTGGGAAGCAAGAAATCTTCAGTTGTAATTAAGCTGTTTCTAGAATCAGGTAGCTCCGGTTGCTTTTCTTTTTCTCCCCCCTTCATTCAGTAAATATGTTTCGCACACCGTTGTCAGTGCCTTCGTGTGTTTCAAGCCTAGTGAGGTTTTTTGTAGAACACTAGTCGTCGTTACAGGAGATAGGCGCTCCATTGCAGATGCTGATCAGGCAGTGCCAAAGCTTCAGAGTTCAGACATAAGTCAGCCGCTGCACTGCACAATTGCCATGTTCGCTTGAACTACTTTTCAAGCGAGTCAGCTTATTTCAGCTTATTCTTCCTCGCATAGCACTGTTAAATCAGCTGAAAACAACCGGCTTATGTACAGCCGAAACCAGTCGGTCCAATGCACATGTGCTGTTCTTTTATCTCTTCCAAAGCTGTGCAGCCTTTTGTCACACGGTTCGTCGAGTCCCTGTCGAAAGCTGGCACGGTGGCACCTGGCATTACAGCAGCAAGCGAGAATTCGTAAGTAGTCGTAGAGTTGCTGTCTGCCGGCTGCCGGTGCCGAAACCAAACAGAAATCTTGGGCATGTGCAAACGTGCCCCGACTTGGATGTAATCCAGCTCAGCTGCCATCCAGAGGTCCAACAGCCGGATCAGCCAGCCTCATCCGTTCCTCCTGGCTATAAAGTATAAACACCCAGATTTTCTCCTCCTCTCGGCTAATCCGGGCGAGATTCACGGGGGATTAAGCCCGTCTGTCTTTGACTCGTCTCGTCTGGTAGCATAATTTTCTTGTGTGCCCCGGCCCGGCCATTTGGAGGTGTCAGGTGTGTACCAGCTGGACATCTCAGATTTGTCGTTGAAACTGGGGGCCTGAAACTGTGATTATTCTGATCACACATACAGCCTGTTCGTTTCGGCTGGATTGACTTATAAGCCATGACTGAAAGTACCACTGACTGGTTTGATATGAGAGAAAAATATTGTTCGTTGACTGATAAACCCAGGCTTATTAGCCAGATACAAGCTGCCGTCACTAATAAATGTGTTTCAGTCGAGACCGTCGCCTCGCCTGAAACTCCAACGAAATTCCTAGCGCATAGCGTTATCAACAGCTCGGTGACAGTAGGCGACGAGGTCTCGTGACTCTCGTCGGTCGTCACATCCATCGGAGCAAGGTGGCAGGCAGCGCGACTCCCAAATGTTTGCCCATACCGCCGCAGTCGTTGCAGTCGGCGGCCGGCCTCTGACGCCACGGGCTCCGTCGTCTCTCCACCCACCATGGAGAACAACCACCAAGTCATAAATAAACAGAGACACCAAACAAGAACTCAGAACTGGTAGTATGTATATAAAACACAGCAGGGCCCTTTCATCTTGGAAGAACATACAAGAGGGTTTTAATCAGTCCCGAGCTCGAAAGTGAGGTGACAGGAATGGCACAAAAACGTTGCTGTTTTGGATCGAGTCATCAGTCATGGAGGCAGCAGCTCGCGTCGATCCCGCCAAATTGACGCGAGGCAGGAAACAAGGAGGAGTCAGTCTCGGTTGGTTGCATCCACGCAAACTCACAAAGAAAGCCGAACGAAAGCTAGCTCTTCTTGATTACCCTTTGCTTTCAAGTCTTAGAATAAATCGGGAAATATTTCCCGTTGACGCTGGCTTTCATCCTTAACAGTTCTAACTTTTAAGAAAAGTTTTCTCCTTTGCATGTCACGTCGAATCCCTAACACTACTTGTCATCGTTCCTATTTCACACTCTCTATTCATGTTAAGGATCTAGATTTTAGTTCTAGATAAATGGAATAACGGTGCTTCAAACTACAACCTAGTTCACAGGTGCTGAATTTTCTTTATCAATAAACTAGTCATATATCTTTCTTAAAATCTGTATTGTTTATAACTGAATTATCAAAGCACATATATTATGATTTTTTAGTCGAAATACAATAAATCTACATGTAGAAGCAACTAAGATACTTCATTACCACCCTTTGTCTCAAATTATAAGTCGTTTTGGCTTTTCAGATACTAGTTTTTTATGTACCTATATATACAATACGTCTAGATACATAATAAAAGTTGTGTATATGAAAAGTCACAACGACCTATAGATTATAACAGAGGGAGTTATAATATGCAACGTCATTGCTACTGTTATTTAATATGTAAATCATTCAGAAAACATCTATCGTGTTTGCTGAATAAAGGAAATTCAAATTGACATGCTCATTTCTCTCCCACGCATGTATATCTGGTCTATTTGGTGGAAGGCATCGTATATGTATACCAAACATACTCATACATATACTTTCTTATTATGTATTACATCTAGTTGTGATAGACTTTAGTAACCATTTACTCTATGCGATTTTCCATCCCTATATATAGTTTTTCCCTTTCCATGGCACCTCCATGTGTGTTGACATATGTTTAGTTGAAACTTTAGTTTGAGCTACGTGTTTTTATTTTTTATGAAAACCAATATGCCATTGCTTCATGCATACACATATATACAAGGACGTTGTGACAAGCATCAAGCACGTACACTTTGGCTTTAGTTTTCTCTCTCTCTATATTGGCAGTGGGAGATGTGTGTTATATATAAGCATGTGTAGAGTACTTTAGGATATATTTTACAAATATAAGAGGTAGGCAATGCATCAGCCTGTTCGTTTCGTCGTAAACGATCGTGGATTATTTACTGCTGACAGGTTTGGTGTGAGAGAAAAATACTGTTCCAGCTTATAATCTACGATCGTATACGAGCAAGCGAACATGCTCATATATGGGGTTCTTCTAGGCTATTTTTAAGAACCATTGTGCTAGAGAGAAACAAATTGTTGGATTGTAGCAATTATTGGCATATGGACTGTTACAATCTACAGCCAATTTGCTTCATTTGGCAGATTGTAGCAACCTACAAAAGTGCAAATATGCAAAGTAAAACAACAAAGGTCTAATAATTGCCAGATCCTGCTAATTTAGAAATGACAGAATGAGTACATAATTTAGATGTTGATTTAGGATTTACCTTTAAGTTAATTTTCAATGGTTAGATACAAGCTATAACTGCTTTAGGTTATTTTTTATGATGGAAGACACTCTAGATCTAAATTTAGAAAACTAGTTTAATTTTAATAATAGCATATGTGTGTAATTTAAATGCAAGTTAGAGGGTTACTAAGTTATGACAGTGGCACTAACAATAGTGGCGAACGAAGTGGGATACCCCGCTTCATCTGAATGTGTGGTTGTGAGACACTGTAACACCCCGGTGTTATGCCTGCATTTAGGCACTGCAAATCATGCATATCATGCATCATCAAGCATCCTAATCATACATGCATAATCTTGCATATAATAACTGAAACATTACTTCGAAACATACGAAACATGTTTAGGAAACGTAAATGATGCATACACTTATTAGAGTTGTTTTGCACTGATTCTTGCTTGCTGGGTTAGTAGAACTTGTTTGGTTATGAGTGTAAATCATCTAGAATTGTTTAGCACAATTTTTGGAGCAAGGTTTGTATTTGAATTATTGCCAATTTTTTCTTTAAAAATAATTCTCAAAAATTAGGGTTTTGAGTTAAAATTTAACTTTGATTGTATAATTTAAAATCTAGATAGAATTGGACTTTGGTCATAAAAGCAAAGTTGTAGAGCATTAAATTCTAAATAACTTTCATTTTTGGTACATTTTCAAAAGAGGTCATTTTCTTGCTCAAAATAATATTTGAAAACTGTTATTTGAAAATTTATTGAAAATGGAAATTGAAAAAAATGTTTTCTACATTTTAGCGGGTCACGCCTTCCTACCACAGCCCGCCAAATCAAGCCGGCCAATGAGCCTCCAGCCTCATGCTTCAGGCTACGCCTCGCTCGCTCGCTGACCCGGCCACCAAAGCCGGGTCACACAGCTGCTCACGCCATCCCACACTGCTTGCGCTCGCCTCGGCCCGGCCCCTGCCTCATTCCCTGTCATTCACCACTTGACACCACTGCAGAGACATTCCACCGTGGCGTGGCGACCATGTCTTGGCGTCGCCGCCTGCCACATGCCATGGCCAGCCGCTCGAGCTGAGCCAGCCACGCACCCGCTTACTCCTCGCTGGACTGCAAGCGCTCGCTCACTCCGCCACACAGATTCCCTCTCCTCCAGAGCAAAGCAAGCTCACCCCCGCCATGGCCTCCGCAGCTCCTCCAGACATCGAGCTCCCGCACCACCAGCGCCATTCCCGATTCCTCGCGCCCGCAACTCCGCCTCGCCCTCCTTCAAGCAGCGCTCGAGCTTGCGCCTTCCATGCATGCAGTGTCGAGCCTCCCGCTTCCCACCGACGCACGACCACGGCCGCCGCCGTGCTTCGGCGCCATGGAAGTCGTCTTCCTTCTCCCCTCCAAACCTCGCCTAGCTACCCTCATCACTCTGTATCTCTAGCACACAGCCGTGCGCTCACCGGCTCGCCTGGCGTGGTCGGAGATGGCCACCGTGACATTGGCCGAGTTGCACCACGCCACACCACACACGCTGATGAGGCACCACCGCCTCATGACCAAGCCGCCAGTAAAGCCGAAAGTCGTGGGCGTGGGCCTGGCACAGCGCATGGCAGCTCCCTTTCGCTCGGACCACGCGAGCAGATATGCGACCATGGGCCAGTTGTTCCCACGGGCCGGCCCATGGGAGTTTGAAAGAATTGTTTTAAATTTATTCTTTATTATTTGAAAATGAAATGGTTTGCAAAATGTTTGGATACTCAAAGTTGCTCCAAATTTGTTGAAACAAATTTTTCTAGGTTCCTTATCATCAGATCTACTTGGGAAAAATTGTGCATGTCATTTTTTGAGATACTTTTCTATAGGATTTTATTTAATCTTGAATATTGCTGATAACTTGAAAAGTATGTAGAAAAATATATAGGCTTCAGAAAAATATGATTCCAAGTTTGTTAATCTTCTTATGTCATGTACTTTCTAGGAAAAATATGTTTCATGCATGTGCTGTGGGAAAA